TTTCAGATCTATCCATACTACAGATGAACCCTCTGTGTTGTTTCTTCAAATTAAAATGCCTCACTTTTCTATTTATATCCCAGTGCTCAGCACAGTGTTTGGCACATAAACACCTAATAAATTCTTTTTTGTATATCCTTAATAAAATTGAGAGGAAAAATCAGATACTTTTCAAATAACATACATGGCACAATCCTAACACTATTCTCATTAGGCTTGAAAGAGGGAAGGTCCCTATACATACCTCTAAGGTAAGTGAAAAGAAACTTAATGTTGTGCTACAAACAATATATACAAGTGGATATGTACCAAATGTTAGGAGCGTATGCCACCACCACAAATTCTTTACTTCAAGATACGCATAATTCATGGTAGGCATATACAAGGCAAAATACGGAGAGTCACTGAAGCTTTGTTTGCTTGTTTTCCAGGCAATAAGAGAAATGGGTCCCATAATCTTTGTAGTAGTATCAACAGTTAAAATGTATAAAAGCTCAGTCATCTAATCTGATCCTCCTAACAACCCAGTAATCAACTTTGTAGGTACTTCCCCTATTTTGTAGCTCATAGTGAAATGATTTTCCCACAAGTTCTGTGTGGCAAACATGGCCCATTTATTAAAATTAGGTCATTTGTTAAGTCTATGCTACCTCTTAGAACTAAAACCACCAGACTCTGCTGTGTGATTGATTTAACAAAACCCTCCTAATTCAGTGCCAAATAAATGAGGAAATGAGGCTAGATTGTACCACAATGAAAAATGAGGACAGGTTTTTATCTCACTTATAAAAATATTTAAACAGGACTAGTGGAAATTTAACAGATTCTCTGGTACAGTGGAAAAAAAGCAGACCACCTGGTTTGGAACTCTAGTTATGCTATACTCACTGCATCTGTGAGACCATGGGCATGTCACTTAAAATCTCTCCTTTTCCTTTTAATCTTTCTTTTCTGGCCTTTGATTTATTCAAAAGGTCTACCTATGCAGATTTAGTTCAGCAACTTAAAACCTAGAAATTTGCCTGGGGTAATGAGAGGATAAGTGACCAGTCCAGGATCACAAATCAGTAAGTCACATGAAGGATTCCTACTCATTTCTTCCTGACTCCAAGAGATTGACTTTCACTTCACCACACTACACTGCCTCATTATCTAATACTTAATAGCACCAAATATACTAAGATAAATACTGCTTTGGTGTGAATTTGCCCTACAAGCTTCCTAGCCTAGCACCTAAATTTCATGCTATTTAAAGGCAGCATTCCTTAAACTCTAAGGAATTCCCTCACTTCTTAGGCTTTGTCTGATGGTATGCCACTCACCACACTCAAAACCTTTTTTGAGACTCACTGTGTTTCCCCATTGCAAAAGGTGATTACACTAAATATATATGGTTTCTCCTAGCTCTCAAAGTTCTATGAGTCACTGGAAATCAGTGACTAACTTTTAGTGAATTATCTGCTGGAGGGTGTAAATACAACAATCATCATACGCAAAAGAATTTCATTCTTTCCTGATTCCCCTTTCACAAGTAAAGATACACAGAAATTTATAACACTGCTAGAAACTGCCTTCCCAATTACTTGCTTAGCAATCAGCTTCATGAACTTTACACCCTTAAATCAATTGTTTTCAGGGCTAATTATGGAGAAGCAAAAGGATTACAACATCAAAAATCTACCAAATGCTACTTCTCCAGTCTTCCTAGTAATATATTATTGTTGCCTTTTCTTACTAGCAACAGAACAACCAAAATCTATTGTATTCTATAACCATGATATAAAAAAGAAACTAAAATTAGTTTAGGATAAAGAAGTTTAAAAAAACAAATGGGAAATGCATTATCCCAATACAGCAAAACCCATTAAAGAGTGGTTTTGTATCTTATGCAGTAAGTGCTCTATCAGGCCCCAGATAATCTGTTAACTTGACAACAATTAATATATAGTGTGCTGCCTGAACTACAAGCAAGAAAAAAGCAAAGGTGAACTGTGAAAATAACTTATGCCCACAGCTCTGACTTCTGTAGTCAATCAGTAATTACATTTACTTCCCCTTCCCTCAACTCAAATATATCACAATTAAGTTCCTAAGTCACCCACTAGAACAACTCAAAGACCCAGAAGCATAGTGCAGTGAAATGCTATGGATTTTTTTAAAATTTGGGATGGGGGGGTGCTTTTGATTTTTTTTTCCCTAGAAAATGGGGGTAGAGATTGTTTTTAATTATTTGACATTCATTTTTTCCTGCAGGATTTCATTTGGGTCGTCCCACCCCAAGTGGCTAATTTATTACCTTCCAGCCCAGCACAATCTTAAAATTTCACTAAAAATTTCACTACAACAAAATAATTTTGCCTGCTTGTGGAATTACAATAGCCTTACATATTAAATGGGCCTTTAAAAAAAAGTTACTTCCCTATCTTCCCCATTTCCACACCCCAATTAAGGTAAAGCTGCCAGTACTGCCTCCTTGATCCCAGTTCACATACACTAAAGATTAGTGACTAATCTTTATTTTGTTTCTTTTTCAAAGAACTATATTCAGATGTATACGATTAGGAGAGTAATTAATATGAGTTACATAACAGTTTGAATATCCCAGAGGTGGAAGAAACTTTAAGAGGTAACTTTATCTAACCCATACCTAAGCAAGAATATACAAGGGAGCATCTCTGCTATGCTTAAAGATTTCCAATAATACGAAACTCATTACCAAGTAGCAATTCCACTTCTGAACAGAATCAAAAAATCTCAGAACCTGAAAGGCCATCTGGCCCAACTCATAAACTTAATAAAAATCCCCTCTATAATATGTCTAACTACTTTAATTGTTAAGTTTTCCATATATCAAGTTTAAACTAGACGAACCTCTACTCACTCTTCTCAGAGTTTTGCCCTCTGGTGCCTAAAAAAATCAAGTCTAATCCCTTTTTCATAGTCCTTTAAATACTGATAGCTATCATCTCTCTCACCACACACCAAGTTCCTTTCCTAGATGTTTAAGTTCCTTGAACTCATCTTGCCATGGCATAGTTTTTTTTTTCTTTTCTTTTCTTTTTTTTTGGTACGCAATGGGGTTAAGTGACTTGCCCAAGGTCACATAGCTACATGGCATAGTTTTGAATTTCTACTATAGCAGGCTACTTCCCTATATGAAGAGTTCAACAAAATGGCAGTGTGGTATAGTAAGTAATTTGAGTCTAGATGAAAGTGAAATCTTGCTGGGCTACAGAGGGCTGCTAGAAGGTGTTAGAGGGAGTAACAATGGCTTAGATTTAAATAGGTAGAAAGGAAGGCATTATAAGCAGCAGGAATATGTCTCAAGCAAAGGCTGGAAAAGAGTGTTCAAGAACCTTGAGAGGATTTGTTTGGCTGGAAAAGAAGCTATTCAAGTTGTAGGAAATAAAGACTGAAAATACAAGTAAGGATCTGATTGTGGAGAGCATTGAATTCCAGCCTAAGTAATATGAAATTGATCCATTCAAAGTTTCTAGGAAAGGAGTAATATGAAAGTGATGAAAGCTGGCAGACTGTACAGGACAGAAAAGACTGACAGCAAAGCAGTTTCTTTATTTTGAGGCAATTTTAATTCAACATTTCATAGCTATCATTGCAAGATAATTGCCATTCTTTTACACCTTCTCACCAGCCACCAATAACTTAGGATCCCTTGTAAGTTTATCATGGATCCAAGTAGACAAAGGGACCATATAGAGTGAAAAGAGGGTAAGCAACACCAGAAATATCAGCCAAGGAACTGTCCTTTCTCAACCAGAGTTAAGGAGTTCAGATCATGTCAGGACAAAGAACAAGGCGGCAATTTAAAAAAAAAAAGGCATTGTCTTATGCAGGTCTATATTTTTAACATAAGCAAAATTACTGATATCAAAATGATTACTACAAATATTCTAATTTTACAGATTACAAAACTAAGGTTCAAGGTTGACTTGCTAAACAGAGTCAGGTTTAGAACCCAGGTCTGCTTTTAAAGCCCACTGGTACATTATGGGACATCAGTCACCTCAAAAACTTTAACGTAAAAAGAACACAATATTCTTCACATTTCCATTTTTCATTGTCTTGCTTTCTAACTTAATCTAGATTATAAATCCATTACAGCCATTTTCATAATACAAATATCCTAACTTGCTTTCATAATACAAAATCACAACTACTAATGCTCAGGATTATACAATGAGTCAAACTCCATTTTCCTTAACATTTGACTTACATTAATGAATATTTCTCTTAAGTGCTTCTCCAACTTGAACACTTTAATTAGAATGATTTAAATGACCACCTTTCAGCTACTGAGCTACTGATTTGAATTATGAACTATACCCTTCCTGTTATTTCCCCACACCTTTCTCCAATCTTCCACAGATGCCAAGTATTTGGTTTTCTGTTACTTGTCAGGTCATGAGATTTTTCAGTATTCATTAATAGAAATTTTAAAGGGATTATGGGATAGAAAATGAGTGTCTCATCCATTAATCTGGATGGGAGACTCAAAAATTACTAACACTGTCATAACTTTGGCCAACCAAGTCTACTCCATACATGTTAGCGATATGATAAATTGGTTATAAAATCCTAAATAATTCTTGTTAAAAACTTCCTGAATATATATAAAAAAATGAAAAGACAATTACAAGAACTGTGATATATTCAAGTCTCTGCAATCATTCCCATACAAGAAAAAAGAAGCGAAGAAGCTATGTTACTGGGTAGACAATCTAATCATTTTTAATTTCTTATCATGACCCAACCTCCCACCAGATTTGTGCTGAGCAAATTGAAATACAGATGTATCTCACCTCAAACAAAAATCAAGTAAATGAAATTAAGAGGCTAATTATCCATTTAAAAAAGAAATTCAGTGCAGCTAGGTGGTGAAGTGGATAGAGCACTGGCCCTGGAGTCAGGAGGACCTGAGTTTAGGTCTGGCCTCAGACATAACACTCACTAGCCTGTGTGACTCTGGGCAGGTCACTTAACCTCAATTGCCCTCACAAAAAAAAAAAAAAAAAAAAAAAGATTTCCCTTAAAATTTCTTTAGGGGGTTTTATGCACAAATGGGAATGAATACTTGACAAGAGTAGGTACACCCAAGTCTAGTACCAATCATTTTTTAAATTAAAATTCTTACTTATTTTTTAGCAAGTCTAAACTTTTTAGGTCTTAATTCCTAATTTGTATGATTTTTTTTAACCTAATAATATACCCAATTTAATTGGCTACAAATATCAAGAACCTTCTGGTATACCCAAGATACTTGAGCTTGGAAAAAAGTAAAAAAAGATACAAACACCTAAACACAAAGTCCTTGTCCTCAGACATTACATATGTTAAGTTGGACAATTGCTTAAGTTTATTTTTGAACATAAACAATAGTACTAACGTATACAGTACAAAAAGGACATGTATTACTCTCCCTACTTAATGTAATTGTTATTCCCATTGTAAACATTTCTAAATATTGCAAAAAAAAGTCTTATCCTAAAATCTGAGCTATTATAGCACCATATATACTATAAATGACAACAAACATTAAATATTTGCAGAACTGCAGAGGCATAATTGGATAAAAGCATTATGCTTACTGAGGACTTGCATACATGCTATACTTAATAGTTGAAACAAACAGTTATGACTTTAATTTCATAGACTGACTATGGTGTTGCAAAAAATGTGCTAGATTTGAAGCCAGAGGGAAATGAATTCAAATGCTTACTCTTGACAATTGTTTTATCAAACATCAGTAAGTCATTTAACCTCTTCAAGCTTCAGTTTAGTCACCTATAAAAAGTTTTTTACTTGCATGAAAGCTTTTCTGAGATCAAATGAGAAAAAGTGCTTTGCAAATATTAAAGCACTATAAATGTCAGTTATTACTCATTTATAAAAATTTTCACTTTATTAATAAACAACCATGATGTGCTATATTAATAAACAACCATGATGTGCTAATCAATGAAGATATAAATACAAAGAATGAAAATCTATCCTCAAGAAGAAAAAAATTCTCTTTAGTATAACTAAAGATTGTAAGCTTCTCGAGGGAAGGGATTTGACTATTTGTATCCCAAGCACTTCTCACAGTGCCTGGCAAATAACAGATGCTTAATAAATGATTACTGATTACTTGAGAACAAAAAAAAGCAGGGGGGCAGCTAGGTGGTGCAGTGGATAGAGCACTGGCCCTGGATTCATGATGACCTGAGTTCAAATCTGACCTCAGACACATAACACTTACTAGCTGTGTGATGCTGGGCATGTCACTTAACCCCGCTGCCTAGTCAAAAAAAACCAAAAAAATAAAAACAAAAAAACCAGCCTAGGCTGACATATATAAAGATACTTAATTACAACTATGGCCTAGCAGCAAGCAATTTTTCAGGAAAGATTTCTCGTGGCCCTGGATCTCCGTAACACTCAAAGCTTTTGCCCTGTAACTGTTAAAATGATGCTTATACTACTGAAATATGGTAAGTGGTGAGTAACACGTGAGACAAACATCTGGAAACCGAATTTTATATTTTAGATAAATTCAAGTTGCAAAGTGATTATAATTAAAAGTTTGTCTTCATTTGAAAGACAGACACGACTAATTCCCACTAACTCTTAAAATGTTTATTGGGCATGCAACTATGTTCATATAATATAAGCTTCATCAGAAAGACAAATTTTTAACGAGTACATCATACAATCAAAAAATGCAAATGTTAGGACAATAAAATTTACTGAAAACTTTGCAATCATGCCCAACAAAATTCATATATGTTCATACTTACATTTGATTTTTAGCTGCTTGCCTCTGAGCTTTGCGTTCTTTCCTTTTTTGATCTGGTGGCTTAGCAAAAACAATTTCAATATTTTCTCCTTCTAAATCTTTGCCATTCATTTCTTCCATTGCCTAAAAATATCAGGCACTGGGATCAGCGGTAAGTAATTTTCAACACAACATGATTTATTACAGAACTTTAGAGATATTGGTGTCCCTTTACAGAGAGTCTAAAACAAGAAATCTTAACTTGGGGGTCAGTAAACCTGTTTTTCATAAAGCCATCAAAGAATTTTTTTTTTAATTCATTTTACTGGATCGAGAATCAAGTAAGTGGCCATCTAGGCCCAGTTCTAGTCTAATATTAATGGCCAAGTTACTTCACCTCTCTAGTTTTTTAGTTTCATCAACGATCTCTAAATTCTCTTCCAGCTCCTAATTTTTGGTTATGTAATTCATAATTTTAAATGTCCTTTAATTATTCACTATCGATTCTCAGTTGTTTATTACCTTTACAGCACCATCTCTCTCATCAAAGTGAATGAATGCATAATCCTTTAGTTTCTTCACTCGTTCCAGTTTCCCAAACTGACTAAATGCTTTTTCTAAAATCTCTTCTGTTACGGTATTGGCGAGGTTACGTACAAATAGCACTTTCACCTGAAATTAGAAAAAAACAAAAAACCACACATTTTCAAAGTTCTGTATTTCCAAAATTTTTAAAGCATAAAATGTTGCTATCACATATTCCCTATGAGAATGAAGGTATATTCTAAATAATAAAATAACACTCCAACTCTGATGACAAATAAAACAGGGGGTGCAGGTTAATATATAAAAGCTTCCTAGGAAATCATGACCTCTTTCTTTCTGACCTCAATACTAGGATCTTTTTGGTATAGCATAATAATATAAAACTCATTAAACTATAAACCCTTTGGTCCAGTGATAACACTAAGTATATATTCCAAAATAGTAAAAGAACTACAAAATACTTATAGAAAAGCATTTTTGTGGTAGAAAATGAGTGACCACTGAATAGCTGAGCAATTGTTTTATGTTAACTCAATGGAATATTATTGGGTCGTAACACTTATGGTTCATATTGCTTTAGTGATTGGTAGTTTAACTGTTAGTGATTGCCAGGAAAATTAAACTCAATAGTTTTCTAAAGTTTCCCAGCCCCTTTGTGTACAAAGAAACTTAAGATGACTTGTACAAGCAGATGAAAAAGAGAATCACAATTTACACACGATAATTTCAAAGGAAAACACCAATGAAAGACATCCTGAATTTGACCAATGCACTGCACTGGCTGATCATGCCTGCAACATTCTGACATTGTCAGCATATCACCTTCCCTCCCTCACTTAAAGAGGTGATGGACTATAGGTGCAGAATGAGGTACATACACTGTCAGACATGTTCAGTTGCTTTTACTACACTGTTAAAATAAGGTATTCTTATTTGGGGGAAAAGGTATCATTGGGAAATGATACTGCTGTAAAGTACATCATTAAAACTTTTTAATATCTTCAATGGAGATGTCAAAATGAAGTCATGAAATGTTGACTTCAAAATTGATTTCATCATCAAAGTTAAGGCTAAAAGTATGAGCATGGTGATTAATGGAAACCATTTACAACATATGAGAAGTTTTCCATGGAAAAATTCTGCTTAGTTGAATAAGCCATTTAGTATTGAAACAATTAAAATATCTCCGAATGTAAAACTTCTTTAACTGACTACCAACACAATGAAGAAAACTAAGACCAGGAAGCAGCAAGGGTATAAATAAGAAAAGCACAGTCAGAGAAGGTAGGTACAGATCCAGTCTGTGAAACTTACTATGCCTGTGAACTTGGGCAAAATTCACAACTTCCCTGGGCCGGTTTTCTCATTTGTAAAATGAAGGGATTGTACTAGATAATTTCTGAATTCTCTACCACCTCTAGTTCTCTGATAACCAACATATTTTTATATTATAAGTAGAAAATATTTTTAAGATTCATAACCCCACCCCAAAACAGGGCTATCAAATTCCTAGCAACATGCCCGATTCATCAGAACTGACATCAAAGGAAGACCATACCTAAGTCCACCATACTCTTAATAAAGGAAATTTCTCAGGTGACCAAACTGAAAATTGTACTACTAGCATTTATGTTGACTCCTGAGAGGTATTTGCTCTTATAGCAAGTCTCAACTGATTTCTGAAGCAGTATAACTAATAATAGCTAAATCTTGTTCAACTGCCACAGCTCAGCTGGGGCCAGAACAAGCACTCACTATTTTTAGGCATGGGACTTTAGTCTAACAAACAATTGAGTTTGGTGCCATCATCACACACATGCCAAGATTCAGCAGCTCTTGCTGCTAGCACAATTTCCCACTGCAAGATCCTCTACCATATGGGCTAAATGTATATCAAAAATTCCTAAAGCTTCAAATCTTCCATGTATTATTATATTTGTGGTCCCATTACCAGTAGGTGCTCACAGTGTAACTTTTTCTTAGTAATCACTTCCTATAATACAGAAGCCCAGATTTAGGAAAACGATTCTTTAAAATAAAAAAAGAATTCCTCAGTTTCCCTGTAAAGAAACAAATTTCTACAAAGAAATTTTGAGGTCTACAATTAATTATTTAATAATTTGTGTATACTATATACTTGTGTTGAGTTGACTTGTCAAAAACGTAAAGTGTAGTCAGTAACTTTCAGTTAAAAAAATCTTCCCCTGGCTCTGACAGGCCAACCCCCTGAAAACAAAAAACAAAACAGTCTTTTACACAAAGAATTTTATCAAGAAAAGATGCCAATTTTCTTTTTTTATCCCTTCATAAATGTGAATGTATAAAATAATAACAGAGAGTCTTAAAAGCACCTAAGGTTTGCAAGAATGGTTTACAAATATCTCATCTTATCCTCACAACAACCCTGGAAAGTAGGTGCTATTATTAGGCACTTTTTACAGATGAGGAAACTGAGATAGAGGGTGACTTGACTACAGTCACAAAGAACAAGTTAAGTGTCTAAGGTGGAATACTCAGCTCTTCCCTATCCCAGGGTACAGTGTTCTATCCAATGCACCATCTAGCTGCCAAAGGTGCGCCACATCCTATTAGAATTTGTTCAAATCATTACATCGTTTCTTTTCATAAGACAGGCTTCCCATCTGAATAAAATAGAAATTAGATTTTATTGTACTTTAAAACATTACTGAACATAGTCAATATTTTCTCAATCATTACCTTTGCCATGACTTCAGGATCTGGATCTTCTATAGGGTCAGCCCATTCGACTGTACCCACATTTCCCCAGACTTTCACTTTGCCACTCATTAACCTACGCCTGGCCTGAGCAGCAGTTTTGTGATCTTCATACTCAAGGAAACAAAAACCTCTGTTCTTTTTCTTATCATCCGGTTGGTGGTACAAAATGACATCTGTAAGGCCCTCTGAAATTAAACAACCACCCTGTTTAACAAACTGAACAAATGAAATGGGAAAAAAAAAACCTAAAAGTTTTTTACCTAGGATGTAATTAAATATCGAAACAAAAAAAATTTTGATAACTTGATTTAGTCCAGTCCTATATTAAGATTTTCAAAAATGAACAGGAATCCTGGGGCATGTTTCTAGTGAATTTATCTGAACAAATTAAGAATTCTCCCCAAAGCATAAAACATAAAGAAAAATAAACTGAAATGCAATGGTGTTTCTATTAGGCATGTTGTTGAGTTCAATTAGAATTACTGTTTATTTACCCAACCGTCTTAAGACAATGGCAATACAAGACAAATCCAAATGGAAATACCACAATTATAATATTAAAAACAAAATTATTTTCCTAGCCCAAGCCAAAGATAGGCTTATTTCAAAGTAAATTTAGGACTTTAATTGGGAGTTTGCTATAATAGAATTTGCCATGTATTTCAACTTATTAAATAGTTATTTCAACTAGACTGACTTGACAGCTGTTTCTTTGAAACTGTGTTTCTCCAAAGATAATGCAAAATATAAAAATCAGATTTAAGGTAGTCTGATACGACAAAAATTCTAAGACAGACTGTCATCTAGTAATTTTTATTTAAAGGAATTAGTTTTTGATGACCCCACAATCCTTGAGGTTCTCTTCTTGTTGTACAGTTGGACTCATTTAAAATAACACTGTTAATAGGAAACAGAATTGAACACAATGAAGTGTAGTATTTTTTACAAAAATCACTTAAATGCCTAAAAACATAAAATTTATCCTCACTCAAAAAACCAACTTCCAATAATACAACAGGCTCACTCCATGTTCAACTTACCTGTTACTTTGCTAAATTCTTCAAGAATCTGCTCCTTTGTTTTACTCTTGGGAATAGACCCAACAAAAAGTCTATTATTTGCAACTGAGATGCAGACGCCAATGTGTTTTCCAGAGCGAATTTCATGATTATTATACTGGAAACAAATAAATTTTTTACATTAAGAGTTACTCATCTTTAGACCATTTATCTAACACTAAATCTTTATCACAAATGCTGTACAATTCACTAGATTTTCTACCTATATAATAGTCTCATCAATTAAAATATGCAAATAAAGCAATAAACACCCTATGCACATGGAACTATGTAAAGTTACAAATGTGACTCTGGCCTCAAGCTTATCTCAAAATAGCTATGAAATTTTTACATACCTATAGAATATACATAAAGCAATTCGCAAGTTATATGGATTACACGAAGACATATAATTGTCACGTATATTGTCTTGTAAAACTAATAAATTAGGTACAAAATTTGCCTAGAACAGCCCAATTCATTGTATAAAAGTGGATTTAGCAACCACTACCTCTCTACCCTGCCCACCAACGCCAGGCCACTAGATCTATTATCATGCAATGTAACCAGTTTACTACTGTCTATTATTCAGCAAGGTTCCTTTCCTTGATCAGTAAAACACCAGTGGGAGGGAGGGTAACAGAGAGAAGTAGAAGGATGAGACGAATTACTTCCCTCAACCTGTGCCCCTCCCCCCCAAAGAAGATGCAGCAAACCAGTTAGGTTTAATCCCTTTCTTTCTCTCTGTACTTCAGAATGTCACGTCTAACATAAATATATTTCCCACCCTCTAACAGAATTTCATGTTTTCCTCAATTTTACAAAGGCAGGTAAAAGAGTGACCAAAAGAAAAAAAAAGAGAGAGAGAGAGAAAGCAGCTATAATATAATGCTCAATCTATACCAGGTAACTCAAGATATACAGTTTAAGGCTTAGATTCTTATCATCTAGACAATAGTTTACTAATGTTCAGACTCCTTAAGAGTTTGCCCAATGTGATGGATATTCTAATAAATCTTATCTTTGGCTGAAAGAAAAAAAAATTAAAAAAAAAAAAAAAGATATACAATTCAAGCTCCACAGTCTAGAGACACTGAAAGATAGACTAAAGGTCACTGTTATTGTCGAGCCATTTCAGTTGTAATCCCACTCCTCATGACCCCATTTTGGTGTTTTCTTGGCAAAGACATTAAAGTGGTTTGCCATTTCTTTCTCCAGCTCATTTTACAGATGAGGAAACTGAGGTAAATAGGATTAAGTGACTTGTCCAGGGTCTCACAGCTAATATCTGAGGCCAGATTTAAACTCAGAAAAATAAGTCTTCCTAACTCCAGACCTGGTGCTGTATTATACCACCAAGCTGGCCCCTTAAAAGTCACTAAGAGAAGCAATTTCAGTATTCTATGACGCATCGTTTTAACACCTACAAACTAAGGGTCCAGAACACAGTATAGAACAAGAGGGAGAAATCTTACAGATTATATAACTACATATGGAAGAACCAGGGTAAAATATCCTCTTTGTATCAGAAGCAGTACTAAATCATTTTGCATACCACATACCAAGCTCTTCCCCAAAATAATATTACCTGTGTTCAGGTAAAGCTAAAGAAAGTAAGGACCAACAGGTCTCTTTCTATGTTTCCTTGCTTCAAACTCATTAAAGCAGTTTATTGATGTAATGCTAATAAAAACTCTGATGCTAATAAAAATTCTGTACTACTTCACATTTATAGGCTTCCTTTGCTCAGATTTTAAATCCATTTCTAAATTTTAAGCATAAATTCATGACCCATGCAATGTTTACAACAGCAACTTGCCCTAACTTGGCATAGCTGTGAGCCCCCAAGTCTATTTTTTATATATAATCTATATAAGATCTGTGTTCTCAATATACCTCTGAGAAGCCAACTGCATTGCCAACAAGTTTCCAGGGTTTTCTTTATGTACTAGACTTGCATATTGCTGAAGAATACGACATAACTTAAGGTCTCTCTGGGCCCTACGATTTCACAGCAAGTAAAGCAAAGATAGTAAAATTATATAAAAATAGTATTTAGGTCATAGACTCATAAAATTCTAGAGCTGACAGGAACTTGAGACAGCACGGTCACTTATTCCAAACTTCTCATTTCACAGTGAGAAAACTGTTGCCAAAAGAGACTTCCCCAAAGTCCAAGGCCAAGATAAATTTGGATCCCCTGACTCTTACTTAGTGATCTTGACGCCACTGTCACAAAAGATTACTATTAAACCCATATAGGATCAACAAGGCTGTGTTATGACAATATTGTAGAGGGAGCATTATCTAGGACATATTAGGGCTTCATATCAATAAAATCATACTCAAGTCATCTAAGCTTTTGGACTTAAGAAAAATCTCAATAATTTTCTTTCTGCAAGTGATGCATAGTGCTAACCCATTTACTTTCTCAGCCTTCTGGTAAAATGAACATAAATACCCACAAACTATGGATAATTCACAAACAGCAAAGTTTATACTCTAACGTATATAAGACAGATAAGGACCAAAGTTATACAAGTTTCTAGGTAGAATACTCAAATATACAAGGGGGTAGAAAGTCCCTTTGTCGAACCTTATTCTCCTGTCTACTATAGAAAACATATTTTATCCATCCTTTATCTGTAGTCAATAGGGTGAGACTATTCCAAATGTGATAGAGCCATAAGAGTTAGTGAATTAGCCCGAGTGTAGCACAAAACAAGCACAATATGATTAACTGGTTCAGAATCCATCCTCTGCCTAGCTATGTAGAATAAACTTATGCAAAACTTTGAAAAATTGTTAAAATTAGATACAATGACAGTTAAGGATCTGCTGCAGAGCATGGAAATAGCATTCTAGCTTGAGCATTCATTATTAGCTAAATACATAGAAAGTACCCCTCAAAGCCCGGAACTGATAAGGCTGCCACCTCCAAGACCTTAACATGTACTTCTCCATTACCCTCTAACATGAACAAGCACAAAAATGGACAAAACCCCACTTTGGGCATAAACATTACTAAGCTAACCTACCTTCCTAGTTACAGTTCTGTTCCCCCAAATGTCACCCAGCCTCAAAATATGTTCTTTTTTGCTTCTTCATTCCTCATATCCACTATAGTAACTCCAGCATATTCTTGTGTACTATCTTCTAACATTGTCCCTTTTCAGAACCACTGTCACCATCCTCTTCTGAATCCTTTCTCTTGCAATGCCTCTTAACTGCAATTATTGGCTTACAGTCTCTTCCCATTCAATTGGTTCCTGAATACAAAAGTCAAAATATACTTCATAAACATACATATTTTCATGACATTTATGCCTCACAAAATATTTTTCACAACTCCCTATTATCTAAAGTTCAAACTCTTCACTTTGAAATTCAAGGTTCTCCAAAATAATTACTAGGTTAAAATTACACTGCTAAAATGAAATGGCCCCTAACCATCATAACTTAATGTGATCTTTCTGTTCTTTTAGCTCCTTCAGCATTTACTTAACAGAACTCATGTTGTGTGTTGTAGCTGTTGCAAAAAAATATGTGATGAATTAGCACATAGTGATGGGAGGAGTACAATTAGAAGAGGATCCCAGTTACCAGAAACGTTCCAAATGGTTTACAAGATTTTTTAGATCTACTGTGACAAGAGAGGCGAGTGCTACTAATTACTGTAAAAAGAGGGTTTTTTGACTAGGGCCTCTGATACTTCTCCAGCTCTAGATTTGTGATGTTGACATGGTGGCACACAGAAAAAAAGCACTGGCTCTTACGTCAAAGGATCTGAGTTCAAATTATACCTGTTAACTCTGTGTCCATGGATAAGTGTTAAACTTAACTCACTGTACCTCAATTTATTCAACCGTAAAATGATGAATTTGAACTAGATGGCTTCTGAGGACCCTCTTTCAATTCTTGTTCTATGATTTCTATAGTCATTCACTAGGCATAATTTCTTGCACTAATGGTTACTTTCTCCTGGGTAGGCATTTCTTCTCTTTAACTAGGAAAGAAATAGGTTAAGAAACAGTCATCAGGAGATCTGGGTTCCAATCTCACTTTAGACAACTCAATGGCTACGTAACCAAGCATTCATTTAACCTTCCCAGAGCCTACCAACTTCACATATTGTGAAGCAGTGGTTCTTTGTTTTGTTTTTTTACATTAACAAGCTGTATAAAAAAATTACAATTACAACTAGATAAAATTCCCTGAGGGTAGGAATCAAGTCGGGGCTTTTACTTCATGTTCTAGACTATGCCTTCAAACTCAGTAACTTGAAACTCATTGAATAGTATAAGCTATTCTTCAATTTTATAGGTCAAGTTATGTATCAACAATATCCATGGAAATGACCATTATGGAATTTCATGTTAAATACAGCTTAAAATGTTGGACACTGGCCAGACCTTAAGGATCTTTTTGTTGAAATCACTGCAGGATTTAATCCGTATCATTCTTGGCCCACAATTTGTTGTGTAAGACTTTTTCCTCTCTTCACTGCCTACTTAATAAAATATTCTCTCAGGAGTTATAACCAGGGTGACCAGAATAATTTCTCTCCTATGAGCTCCTACAGAACTTGTCTATCATTTCACAGTTAAATGAATACTGCCTTATGATACCTCTTACACCGATGCACTAAACTATTATCCAACTTTCATGTTTATGACCTGTACTGTCCATAAGGGCATGAGCCTACTTGATTCTCTATAACTCCTAGCATAATGCCTTGTATACTGAAATGCTACTACCAGAAAATAAGTCACTTGAGTGATATCCTACATTAAAAAACAAACACCCAAATCTTAAAGAGTATCCAACAGTTACCCTTCTTTATCATCACACTTGACAAAATATCTGGTGAATAACATCTACAGTAATAAAAATTCCCTCTATACTTGTGGCTTTATATAGAAACAGGAAAAAAAAAGGGCTTCTTACATACATCAATCAATATGTAAATGAACCATTACATTTCTTAGAGAAATTTTTCCTAAAAACACTTGAAAATACAGAAATTTATAGATACATAAAATATGCTTTTTTCTTATTTTTCCCCCATTACAAGAAGATCACCATACAAATAACCAAGCAAAGTAGGTAAGTCTCCCAGCAAATGTGCAGGGTTGAATGTACCTAGGCTCCAACCTGTATTAATGACAAAACCACATAATATGGCTTTAGTCCTAAGTAAAAAAATTTTTATTTAAAGAAAAATTTTTAAAAAAAAAGGAAGAAAGTTGCCTAGGAAACAACAGGCCTATGAGTAATAAACTAAGATAACTAGCATACTTATTTTTTATGAGCAGTTAATTCCATCATCCTTAATAATAATTACTTACACAAAACAAAAAATCAATCTAAACTGTCCAGCCACACTGTGACAGAAGACTGATAAAGAGAATGGACTTTTTAAGTATTTGTCTACTACATCCTGATTAATACACTTTTACTTCCCCATGGGTCTTGCCTGCCCCGTCCTTTGACTGATACTGCAAAGTAGACTTTCTGCCAGACTGATTCCTCCTCTCACCATGGTCCTGACCCAACAGCTGCAACATGCTCTCCGGGGATGTATTCCAAGCAGCAGAAGTAGAAGTGATTCTGAATCCATCCCTACTAAGCATATATTGCTACCCATGGTCATTTATGCCATAGTGCTAACCACTCAGTAGAAGTAAGGGACTCCTTCCCAAAGCAAGATGCTACTGCTGACACTACTACTTCAAGTTTTGAGGGTTGTGCAGCAATGTTACATAGAAGGCATAAATACAACACGCAAAATGAACTGGAGGTATGACTTTAAAAAAGATTTTTCAGACTAGGTCTTGGAGATTAATCAAAGGGACATCTTAAAAAATAGGTAAAATCTTACAATAAGTACATGTAAAACTAATTATATCAAAAGAGTAAACAAGGGAGATAGTGCTGGATTTGTAGTCAGGAAAACCTGGGTTCAAAATCATGTTTCTGATACTTACTAGCTGTATGAACTATAGACAAATCACATAACCTCTTTGAATCTAAAGGCAACTCTAAGCTACAGATGAGTTGCTGTTTGAATAGACAGAAGTTCACACAATCACATCTACTTATGTATTTACACAAAAAAAATCCATTTACTTAGGCACTGACATACTATGATTAGTGTTTGAAAGATTTTAACAAATTACTTAAAGACAGACCATTTCAGAAGGTATCTGTATTGGAATGCATAATCATGATACCAGTTTTAGTATTTCTGAAAATCTTCCATTAATTATAGTTATAACAGGGGCAGCTAGGTGGCGCAGTGGATAGAGTTTTGGTCTTGGAGTCAGGAGGACCTGAGTTCAAATCCTGCCTCAGACACATAACACTAGCTGTGTGACCCTGGGCAAGTCACTTAACCCCCAATTGCCTCACAAAAAACTATGGTTATAACATCCCATCATTAGGATATTCTGGCATCAAGGTGTATAACACTCTGCCAATAGCAGTTTGCATGACTACTCTGATCCTTCCATAATATTTTAGACTACAAATAAAAATATTAACAGCTAAGTAACCATTCATTTTACAAACTAAAAAGTCAATAAAATCTGATTGCTAATTTCTCTCTAAACTTCCCAACAATTTTATGTAACAAAATCACTAGCTACCTAATTTATGGATTACCCAATTTCTTAAAAGTAAGCTTAAGCTTTTAGTGCTACAAAGCCAAGTATCAATTCATCTGTTAATTGAGGGTGATTCTGTGAGATGGTCTCTAGAGCTTCTTTGAACTCTAATAACTCTATGATTTTATCTGAACTACCAAATAAAGAGCAAAAGACACATCAAGAAAGAGAGCTACTGAAAGGGTGCAGCTGGGTGGTGCAGTGGATAGAGCACCCACCCTGGACTGAGGAGGACCCGAGTTCAAATCCAGACTCAGACACGTAACACTAGCTAGGTATGTGACTCTGGGCAAGTCATTTAACCCCAATTGCCTCACCAAAAAACAAACAAACAAACAAAAAAATGCTACTGAAAGGTTCACTAGAGAGCTCTATCCAATGCCTTAGAAGTTAGAAGCATTTAATATGATGACTTGGGAAGAGGGTAGAGGAATAGAAAAAAGAGAAAAAGGGACCAGTGTTAAATCTTTTCTACAAAGGTATTCCTTAAAAATGTAGTATACATCAAGAATCTTAATTTTATGACTGTCATAAAATTTTCAAATATTCAACACTTACACATAAATAGAAGAAAATGGTGGCTCAGCACAGAATACAAAATTACTTTATATTTGTCCTTGAATGTGGAGCAGGGAAGGCAAATTTACCTTTTATGTTACATTTTACTGTGTAAATATTAAAATTAGGTGGTACTATAACCATAAGGTAGAAAAATATGAGAGCAAGGGTTCAAAGTCAGGTTTGTGCTTTTAAGTGTACTTCAAATAAACCCCAAAACTGAGAGCAAATAACACAAAGCCAAAGATTAATGTTATTTTCTGTCGTCACTGGTCACAACTAAGTTCTGTCAACAACCATCATAACTGTTACCAACGATGAAAATAATCTGTTTACCTAATGGAACAAATAACATCCCTTTCAGACATGTTTACCTAACCTAAATCATCTAGTTTTTGTTTTTTTTTTTAACAATTTGCTATTGATTATTAGCTTAACTATTTTTTAACAACATCATATCAGCTGCAAAAGTCATTTGATCAGGGGCAGCTAGGTGGCGCAGTGGATAAAGTTCAAATCCCATCTCAGACCAGACACTTGACATTTACTAGCTGTGTGACCCTGGGTAAGTCACTTAACCCCAATTGCCTCACCAAAAAAGAAAAAAGTGATTTGATCAGAGGCAGATCATGCGAGGGTCCATGGCAAAGAACCTATCAGAACCATATATATCTTAAAGATATATATAAAGATATATCTTAATTGATTCTTCAGCCTTTACAATGCTCTAAATTTTAAAATTACAAGTGAAACGTATTCTAATGCAGGCTCTCAGGAATTCTGCCTTATCATCTTACATCTCCCAACCAAACACAGAGATAACAAATGCTATAATCATTGCTCTTTTAAAGTTTCAAAGGACCCTAGAGATAGGTGATCTAATCAAATGCCTTTTATTTTTTAAATGAGGAAACTGAGTCTTAGAAAGTTTAAGAACGTCCTCAAGGTTACAAAAGTTAGTAGAACTAAAATTAGAACCCTGGCCCTGATTTCAAACTCCAGTTTACTTTAGTATATACCACACAGCCTATGAACACAATACAAAAGGACACCAACTACAGCTTCATGAAGTATGATTAAGCTCATAATTTGCTACAAGTATTTTTTAAATCATTAAATATCTCCGTTAAGTAGTAGGTAAAAACTTACCAGTTTAACAGCCTCCTGAGCTGCTTCTTTTGTACAGAAAGTTACAAAAGCATATCCTCTATTTAGACCAGTCAGGGGATCCATCATTAAGCGCAGATCCCAAATAGGTCCAGCTTTTTCAAATAATGGAACAAGTTCATCTTCAAATAGATCTCTTGGAATCTTTCCCACAAATATCTATAAACATATATATGCAGTTAAGATTCATGAACATGCTTTATGAATATTAGTTCTATGGCTCTTAAAATACAAAATGTTTCTCTTTACCTCTGTGCCAACGGAAGGCTGTTGTCCCGAATATACTGAATCTGGAGGGGGTCCCCCATACTTCCTCTGTCCTGTGGTCACATCAAGTGTATAGCTTGTCCTTTCCAAGAGTGCCTTCAAAAATTCAACTCAATTAATACATTGTGGCCCAAAGAACCACAACCTGGTATTTTTTAAATCCTGAGTTTGCTTAAATTTTGTTTTCACTTGGTTAACATTCTAATTAGATCCTTATCACTATAAGCAGCATTATAAACCTTTTTCTAATTACCTGATCTTTATTTCATAGCATCACATATTTAAAGCTGGAAGATATCTTCAGGGATCATCTATCTAGTCCATCCACCCCATCATTTTGCACATGAGGAAACAGAACAGATTAAATGATTTGCCAAACAGGCATTAAGTAGCCCAATCAGGATTCAAACCTGACTCCAGACCCAACATTCCACCACACCAAACTATACTAAAGATCTGGAACCTCTAAAATTAAAACAGGTGGTTTTACCTATTGATTCTATTTACTTCAATTAGCACATAAAGCAAATTGCTTAGATAAGATACTGAATTAAAAAGTTTGAACATCTTAGAAGTCTTTGATTCTAGATATTTTGTTTTGCTTTGTTTTTGACTAAAAGTCCAAAAATATACTAGCATCCACCTGTTTAGCATCAGTTTCATCCTTCTAGAAGCAAAGGATAGATTAATTTACCTCTCAGTCTCCTTTAATCTTCACGGTACCAAACAATAACTATTATGACTACTGGGTATATCCCTACCATACTGGCAGTTCCTTTATTTTCATAAGATGCAATCTCAATACTTTTCAAACAATTTAGAAATGTATCATTGGTCCAAGTTTTAAAGCATTGAAATACACTCCACAGAAAACTTGAGTTAACAAATTTACTCAATTTTTTTTTTACAGTACTTTTAACAACTTTGAACACTTTCTAGAATATTTATCTACTGGGTCTAAATAGTATTCTGGAAACTGCACTTTAAATATATTTTAGGTATTACCTGTGACAAGTATAAACTGTTAAATTTACATAAGACTTATCAAATTTCCAATCCTGAAAAAGTTAAATACTAAAATGCTACTCTAAGTAATAGGCAAACATTATCAGGGAAGACATGAAAAATTCATTTTTTCTTCAATTTAAAAATAAGATCATAATACTCGCGAATAATTTTAGTGGAATTTAATACGCAGAAATATACTCATTAACCTTTATTCATAAGATTTAATTAAAAAATAACACACTTGTTCTAATATATTTAGTTCATGATCCAATTTTTCTAAGTTTAAATCAAGAAAATAAAAGTTTATTTCCATCAATTATATCTTTAGCTTTACTCTTTATACTGAGGATTGTTTTTGGTGTTATTTCACTTAATAGAAAACAGTTAACGATGCTCAAATAACTCTGCAATTAGCTAAGTTATATACTGAGTAAAACTTTAAAAGTAATATGAGACTTTAACGAGATGCATAAAAAAAGGCGAATTATTTTGTACACATGTTCCTACTTGTATTCAAAGTTCAGCCTTGCCTAAAATTCATAATACTGAAAGAGGGTCTCAAAAATCTGAGGAATTCAAAACTATCACTGAAATCAAGTAATTCAAAGGCGCTTTTATTTCCCTCCTCCAGGAAAGGCTATTGATCAGTACATATTAAAACTTTATTTACAACTTCTATGGATCAAACTTATTTATTGGTGCTTTCAAAAAAGATAAAAGGCAAAAAGCTCTAACTCTAATCTCATCTTATGTCAAAACAACATATTCTTCATTTCCTTTTCCTTCAGAGGAGTTCAATGGACTATAAAACCTGGCACATTTCTTTTCCAAGAAGGAAACACAAAGATGCTATAAACTGTAATTTTGCATGAAATTTAAAAGAAAAATTTCTCATGATATGGCCCTGTGCAACTAATTAGAAAAATATGGGTTTAGTTACATCACAATTTCCTGTAAAATTTAAAGAGAAAATCATTTTGATAGCTTGAATTACATTAAGTCATCCAGTTGAAAGTTATGGTTTGATAGTTTATAAACATCAATACAAAAGCATAAAAAGACTTTTCTAAAAAATAGATTTACTACATATAAATTATAAACTCAGTAAACTTCAAGGACTCTTAGGTGACTGCATTTCAGAAATCTCCTTTGGTGTCTGGCTCACTATCAACTCCTCTCCCATGTCCAACAATATCCCATATCCATTCCCTTAAGTCTACATCTAACCTCTCCTATTACTTCCATGTCCTAATTCCTTTGCCCCTCCCATTTCTGTCAGCTCCTATCAGTAATTCTTAAATCTGTGATGTAACAGATTTTAAATCTGTTCTTGATTTCCAACATAAAGGATCACTCTATAGGAAAAGTGGAGGGACCTGGGGGCAGGCAGGGGTAGGTGCTTCCAAATATTTTCACTAGACACTGCCTTGGTAAAAAGCTATGTGAGGGGAAAAATCCTAAATACCTGCTTAAAAGGAGACATAAGAGCACCAAGAGAGAATTTACATTGATCACACATATACTTTCCTACAGTCTATGGGGTTAGTCTTGTTCCCCTCCCTCATCTGGCTTTAAAATAACCAACTGGACAAATCTCAGTTGTACTCTAGAAATTAATTGTAAATTACAGATTCTTACCAAGTCGCATAATTTTCAAGTATTTAACCGAGCTGGAAATAGGTATGTGATTTACAACCCAAGCATTAGAGTATAAAAAGCACATTTCACAAATGTTTCTTACAAATTTGTTCTTGACATTCAAATTAAACATTCCAGACACAGAAAGGCTAAGGAAGTTTTCTCAAACCACACTCTAAGTCATTTACAGAAAAAGTTCACAATTCTCAAATCAGCTTCCCTGACTCATTTTCAAAGGGAAAAATTAAAAGGCACATACATACCTTAATTTTTGCCTCATCTGGTCCTTTACTAGAATCGGCCACTTTGGTCCCCTGTTTTTCTCTCTGCCTATATGTCTTCATGACTCCACATAAAAAGGCACTTTTGTTCTGTTAAAAAAAAAAAATTTTAAATCTTCCTGTCAAGTTTAATAGCAACTGTTACATTCCTTTGCTTCAATATAAAAATTCCACAAGTGAATTCAAACATATGTTTTATCAAGCAGTTTACAAGGTAGCAGTAGTATATATTACTGAACATTACCTGAACATGTGAGAGATCACTGTCTTTGAACTGTTGAAGTACTGCCAATGCACCGTCTTCATTAAATTCTTTTAAAGCTTCAATAGCTCGTTCATCTAGATCACTGTGTGCAACTAAACCTAGGGAAGAGAAAATGTTTACTAATTAGTAACTACCTTATAATGCCTATTTTCCCAGGGTATTTTAAGGAGAAATTCCAATTACTTTCATAAAAATTTTATCCAGTAACAATCTCTCATTAAAATAACACGCTTCATGGCTAAGTCTAGTCTCAATCACTCAATATTGCTACAGTATTGATCCTGCCTTATAAAAACTGAAAATCAATCTATACAAGAGATATTCCAATTGAAACTCAACTCAATTCCAATTGCTATGGGAAAAACAAATACCATCACCAAAAAAAAATTAAGCAAATCTAAAGCTACTCAAAATTACTTAACAAGAACCCTAGCAAAAGACCACCAAAACCATCACCTGCTCCCACCATTAACAGTGGTTACTATTGTTTTATACATGCTCAACTGGACCCCTGGCCAGACTGCCTACCTGGTCTATCCCCTCCCCTCCATTCTTTAAGCATTTAGCCTCAGGCCCAATTTCTAGTTCAAAAATAGAAAAATTGTCACAAAATCAAAACTGCAGTCCCCATACTAATTGGAAACCACAAAAAGTTGCTCTTTTAGTTTAATTCCAGAAGTCCAATAGACAAATTTCATAATATAATTTTGCAAGTTGTGTCTTACCTGCAACGTAAATTTCATCTAGTTTTTCAGCAACTTTCTGTGGTAAACCAGCATCAAGCAATGTCTGGAAATGCTCAGAATGGGTAACTGCAGAAGAAGTATCCATGGGCTCTTCAGTACCATTCCCATTAACATGTTCAGTAGCCATGTTTCCAGAGATCTGTTTAAATGTAATAGGCAAAATTAACCTACATTCTTCAAAAAGGACACAGATGACAATATTGGAGTCCCAGTCTGTCCTCTATCACTTATTACAATAGCCAGACAACACCTACCGTGAAAGACACTAATGCCTGACAACTGACTTAAGTTATAAGGCAGAAAAATAAAATCACTATTCTACTCGGAGCACCACCCCTGTACTCTCACCTAACACGTTAACTAGAAAAGAGTTATATTACAAACACTGGTAGGCATGCCACCTGCAGCTGCGCTGCTCAGTAAAAGGTGTGGATTAGTGGCAAAAGATAAAGAAGCCGAGTCTTCCAACCTCTAGAGTAAAGCTCCAAACTGCACACTTTTTCCCGCCTGTCGCTTTTGAATCCACAACACGCAAAAGGAACAAAGCGCTCCGATAACTGTCCCCCCAACTCCCCAGGCCGCACCCCACCCCTCCAGCTCCTCACCCGGCGCAGAGAGACTCTACCACCGCGGCCGCCAGGAGCCCATTAGAAACACGTGCTCCGCGCCTTCAAATGTCCTACAACTTCCTCCAACGTCTCCACACCGAGGCCCAAGGCCACAGTGGCAAAGCCACACCAAGACTCCAACAGCACCCCTAACAACGAAGATAGCCCCCAAGGTAGCAACAGCCTCGCAGCCTCCCACCCCCCACGGCGGCAAGAGACGACTACAGGCCACGGCCTCTCCCTCTCCTCCCCACGCCTTCCCCTCCCCCCTCCGCCAAGCACCACCATCTCCGCCGTGACACATGGCTCTCCCCGGGGCGGCGGCACTATCTCCCGTCCCGTTCTCAATCTCGCAACGCTCCGGCCCCACAAATACGTGACCCACAGCACGTTATACAACTCCCCCACCCCCTCGACCGGTGCAATGACTCTGCAGCTCTGGGGCAAACCCCTCCCGCAACGGGGCAGAGGAGTCGGAGCGGGAGCCGGCGTGAGGGAATTCCCCGGGCGGCCCTGCTCCCCCACCTGCCCCACGCACCTACTGCCCGATCCCGAACCGCTTCCAGCCTGGCGCCTGCCTGCGGGGACCAGCGCCCCCTCCCCCCGCGCAGAGCAGACCCACAGCACCAGCCACGACAGCAACCAACTCCGGCACCGCCGCCGCCTGCAGTCGGCACGGGGCACTAGCTAGCACTGAGGCAGGCGCCTCCTCCCTCCGGCGCTGCAGACAAAGCCCGACGGCGGGGTAGCACATGGGAGAAGGGAAGAAGCGGAGGCGGTACCAGGGGCCGAGGCCTAGTCCCAGGCAGCACCAGTAACCAACGTGCTCCTCTCCCCCTTGGAATCCATTTTCCAGAAAAGCCGGTTTCTCCCTCCCCGCGCCGCCCTCTCCTTCCTTCCCTCCCCCCCACAATGTCGCCGCGCCTTGGAGCCCAATGCTCCCCCTCCCAACCCGGCAGGATCCCGTGGTCGTTACCTCCCCGTTAGGCTGCCGCGGGTAAATCCTGTCCGAGGGGATCGGGTTGCGGGAATCGCGTGCTCGCTGCTCCCTGTGTCCGGCGCGAGTGGAGCTGTTGTAAAATGGCGGCCGAAGCTCACGCCGCTGGCAGCAAACCCGATCCAGTTCCACTCGCCTCCGAGCGCGCTCCCGGTGCGCGCGCGCCTCCGCGTGACCCCCCCCCCCCCCCGCCTCCCCCTTCCCCTCCCACACAACCCCCCTCCTCCTCCCCCCCCCTCCCCACCACTCCTAGCACCCTCCTCTACCTTTTCTCCCCCGGTCGACTTCTCCTCTACCCTCCTCAATCAATACCACTGCCCGAGCTCTCAGAAACCGCGAAATGACCTCTCCCCTTCGCCTTCTTTGCTCCCTGTCCCCCACTAGCCCTTTCTCCCCGAGAGGTTTCTACCCCTCTCTTTCTCTCTCCCGCGCAGACGTGAGAAGGCGACGACTACGCCGGGTCGCGCGCCCGCGAGCTCCGCCCCGCGCCCAGCCACCTTCCTCTGCCCCCCCCCCCTCCATGAGGTGGGCGGTGCTCAAGACCCCGCCCTTCCGCTCGAACGGCCACGAAGGGGTCAGACAGTGAATGAGAGGCCCGCCCCTTCCCCTCCCGTCTCCTCCTCCTCCTCCCCCCCCACCCTCCTGGCTAGGCGGGGCGGGGCGGGCCGGGTCGGCGTGTCCCACTCGTTCTCCTTTGTCAGGAGACAGACATCTACCTACCCCACCCCCACTCCAGCACACATGCCACCACCACTAGTCTCCCACCCACGCACCACCCCCCTTCTGGGAGTCTGGGAGCAGCGGGAGGAGAGAGAGGGCGGGGGTCACCCTCGGAATGCTGGCCTTTCCCTAGAACACCCACCCTCCGTGAGCGCGGAGCCCCAACTGCCAGCGCCGCCGCCGCCGCCGCCGCCCGTTCGCTCTCCCTCGGCTCGCTCGGGAAGCTGCCGGCGCACGTGTCCCCCGGGGCGGGGCGAGGCGAGGGAGACAATGGGACTGCGGGGGGGAGGGGACAGGCGAGGGAGGCGGCGAGAATGGGAGACACGCGGCGGGGCCGAAGTGCCCGATGCTCGGCGCTGCCGATCGGGACGCGCACCAAACATACACATACTCCGCGGCAGACGGCAGTAGCCCTGGCGGTGTCTACGCGGGCCCACCTCGCGGCTCCGGGGTGGCGGTGCACGAGGCTTGCCTTTGCTTTCTGAGACTGGGGGACCCGCTGGGAAGGTCGTCGTGGATGCGGACTCTTGCAAGCTGGCAATCCCCGCGCCCGCTCGCTCACTCTCCCGGTCGCCCCCACCTTGGAGAAAGAGGCCTGATTTGGAAGCGAAACCCTCCCCCCCACCCCACCCCCCGCGCCGAAGGGTTGTGCAATCGTTTCGATTTCTGCCCCTCTTGGAAGCCCTCCAGATCGTCCTCGTGGATACAGTCTGCACAACTCGAAGCGAATTCCTGCAAGGGTCTGAGCAACTTGGAGGAAAACCACTTCTTTTAAGAAAACTTTGGCTGCTAGTTATTATCATTTGAAATGGCATCTCCTTTGTAACCCTTTACTGGCTACAAAGAACTCTAGACAAAGACACGTTTTTATTTTGCTGGCGTGTTAAGAACGTTTTCTCTAGAAAGCTAACCCCGCGTGAAAGATATTCTTATCCTTTGATTGAAATATCCAGCTTTTTAAAAGTGTTTTCTGGTTTAAACAAATGCATTGAATTGATTTCCCAGAAACACATTTTGAGTGTGTGTGAGTCACCATCGGGTTCATAGTTTTTAAAGAAAGTTTGGTATATTTTCATTTAAAATGGTCCTTAGTTATATAACAGTCCAGAAATATTTTTACATGGTCACACCAAAATATTAAATGTTTATTGAGCATGTACGTGAATACTTAGCCAACATGGTTTAACATCTTTCCATATATTCCCTTGCTAGGTACCACGAGCAGGATACAGGGTTTCCTCTAAAATAAACTTAAAAAGTCATTTCCATTAGCTAAAACCCAGCTGCTAACAACTGCCATGTTTGGTATCCCACTAAGGAAGTCCGAGAAGAGCAGCCTTAGCTTTAGTGAATAGAGAGCTAGCCTCAACTCATTCGTTGTCTCCCTGTGGTCCTGATCAAGTCATTTAACCTTGTTGCCTCACTCCAGGCAACAACTCTAAAACTAAGTTGCAGAAGTTTCCAAGGTGCTTTGGAGGAGGATTCCTTACTGAGGGTTCAAAAACTCGAATTCAAAAAACTCAAACTTCCATTCTCCAACCCCACCTCCACCCCATCAAAAAAGTTACCATGAATAGGTTTTGATTCACAGTCCAAAGGTCACATAACCTACAACAGGATAGACTTAAAAGAGTTAATCTCTTTTCTGAGACCATCTGATGGAAGTTCAGTTCTAGGGTATAATAATGGCTGGAATATCCCATGTCAACCACTGCAACAATAAATGCTGAATGTAACAATGCAACTTTGAATATACTGCATTTACTACAAGTAGCCCACTTTTAGATTTTTCTGGGTACTAGGGAAGAAAGGTGGAAATAATGGGAACAATTATGATGAGGAAAATGGCCCAATTAAGATACTGCTTGTTCTTTCTCAGAGGATATTGGAAGCTGTGAATGAAGTGGTCATTATAGACTTTGTCCATCCTAAACACCCAACTGAACTTCCTCAGGGGCAGATTATTACAGAACTTTCCTTGTTAGGAGCCCCCAAAAAAATGTTAACACTTTTTTTTAAACAGTTTTAGCAACTCACCTCCGGCTGTGGGATTAAACTAGAGGAGCTATCGCACTTTAAAAAGCAAAAGTTGCCTCTTTTTTTTTGGTTAGGCAATGGGGTTAAGTGACTTGTCTAGGGTCACACAGCTACTAAGTGTTATGTGTCTGAGGCTGGATTTGAACTCAGGTCCTCCTGAATTCAGGGCTGGTACTAAATCCACTGGGCCACCTAGCTGCCCCAAAAGTTACCTCTTAAGGGCTGTTTTCAAAGCAAATAATAAAATATTTCCTAAGAGTTCTTGAGAAAGAAATATAAATTGAGAAAATTTAGTACATTAGCAATATAGGAAATTTACTGGGTTTGGGAAATAGTTGTCAAATCCTGGTTTATCCTATTTTTTTTAAATGAACAGAACTAGTTTAAATAATGGAGGGAATTGAGTTAATTTTCTGCTAGATATCAAATCAGTTCAAATGAAATAATATTTATAAAGCACTTAGCATAGTTCTTGGTACATAGTTGGCACTATCTAAATCCTCATTCTCTATCCTCCCCCCCATTCCCTAGATACACAAGCCTCAGAAAGATAAGCATCTTTACATTTATCCTATTAGAATCTCTTGCTAAAAATTTTTTGTCTTTAAAGTCCATCTCAATAAACTGAAAGAGAAAAATTCAGTCAAAACAATATGGAGAAAGGAGGGGACTCTCTGACATACCATAGTAGTTAGAGCTGGAAAGGACCTTTGGGAAAGATAAGCAGTGTGGTGCCATGACAAGCCAATTGGATTTAGAGTTTAAGGACATGGGTTAGAATCCATGCTTTGCCCTTGTCTGTATGGCCTTTGGGAAGTCACAAGCTCTCTAGACCTGACTTTTTTCATCTGTAAAATGAAGGTGTTAGACTTACAGGATTTGTGGTTGACAGGTCATCTAGTTCAACTCCTTCATTTTATAGATAAAGAAAGTCAGGCCCAGATAAGTTGTAATTTCCCAGAGGCCATGAAGATCATAACAAGTAGCAGAGTTCATATTTCAAAACCCAGGCCCCCTAATTCCAAATCCAAGACCACATCATACATCACCCCTAAATAAGCAGTTCGGTTAATTTTTTCTCCTCTCTCTCTTCCCTCTCCCCCCAACCACCCTTCACTATGAAAAGTAGCATGCATAGAGAACTAGACTTGCAGGTGTTTTATAATGCTCACTGTGTGACCCTGGACAACTCCGTGCTCTAGGCAACAAGCTAAGACTGAAAGTTGTCAAATGACATACTCCAGTTAACTGATTATGTTAATATGTAGACAGATAGTCTAGGGAACTTAGAAACATGGGTCAGTCTTGATACTTCCACTTCCCAGCCATGTGACTACTTCCCTCATAGAACTTTTTAAGTATTAAATTAAATAATGCCTGTGTAGTGAGATATTGGAAGTCAGTGTTTGCTGGTGGATGTAAGATCCCCAGTATGAGGAAAAACTGTCTTTTCAGGTACAATCACAACTCTGAAGCTCCACGATGCTCCAAGAGACAGATGTTTGTACAGGACTTTGTATCTACCCAAAGGAAAAACAAAACACTAATCCCTAATGCCCTACTATATTTGTAAAGTGCTTTGAAAACTTTGAAGACATATCAATCTAAGATATTATTAAATGTGGCTTAAATCATGCTTTATAGTGCTAGAAAAGAAGGCCTAGAGCATACCTGGTACCTCTAAAGGAAAGATACATTATCAAACTTTGAGCAAAAGAAAAATTATTAGTATTAGTAATATATTAGTATGAATATTAGTATTATAAGAGAAAGAACATGATTTTGAAAGTGAAGAGCTGGCCTCAAAGCCAAGAAGACTTGGGTTCCAGCCCTCTGATTCCTGTGATAGTGATTTCTCTGCAGGTTTCTTCCTGGGCTAGGAGTTGGAACTGAGACCCTGCCCTGCTCCTGGGGGTCGAAATCTTGCCAATGCTTCTTGCTTCTAAACTTTCTCCTAGCTTAGTACACAGTCTAAATACTTCATTTTGGCACAAGTTCCTGCTTTAGTCTATTCTGGATTGGTGACATGGAACTGGGTAGTAAGCGACAAAGCTGCCAGTTGGCATCTATTCCTATACCTTGCATAGGGTCATGGTGCCCTGGGACCAGTTTGAGATCTCCTCTGGCCCTGGTACACGATTTCCCTCTAGGCTGGAGTGCTCTGTCCCTGGTGTCTATAGATATTTTTGCCTGTCTCCTTATACTGAATTGGGCTGGAAAAATGACCCATTGTGACATTTTCTTAGCTTTCTCCACCAGGAAGTGGTATAGTGGATAGAGTGATGGCCCTGGAGTTCAAATCCTGC